ACAGCTGGATGACTCCTCAGAATAAGAGCATGACAACTCCCACAAAATATAAACCTAGTATACCAGATATCCCCTCAGGGTTCTCACTACTTGGCAAACAGTTAAACACCTGGGGAATACACCCAGAACCTAGTATACCAGATAACACCACAGGGTTCTCACTACTAGGCAAACAGTTAAAAACCTGGGAAGTACACCCAGAACAAAGAGCATAACATCTCCAAAAATACATATTACCTAGTCGACCAGAAACCCCTTATAATACTTCACCTGGTAATGCGGACACGGAGACAATCGGATGATGGATATGAATAGATTACGGCATGTCAGTGACAGCCGGGAAAATAGGAAATATGGAAACTGCAAAACACCTAGCCCGGTAGGAATACATGTATAAACAAATAAAATAGATGCACACAAAAGAACAAAAAAAATCAAGAATAACATGATGAAGTGAGACTTAAACAAAATAGTTAACAACTATAGTTGCATCACACAACAAATTATAAATATGTTGATAAGAACACATGAATAAGGGGAAAAAATGAAGACAATAAAGAAATACTAGCCTGTGTGTGATCCAAGACTTGAAGTCACCCAGTAAAAGGAAACAGCCGTCGCCGAAACTTGAATAACAAAATTGGTGGCCGGGGAAAACTGAATATTATCCGAAGAAAATAAAGTAACAAATAGCCGTTCCCAAATCTTGAAACCACAAAAAGTGATGGCTGGTAACCAGTGTACAAATAACAATAAAGAAACGTAAGTAATAATACAGTGTAGCTGCTAAAACTGCGGGTAAATATCTCCGCAGCTACAAAGCTGAATGACTTCTCACTGATGCAGCTCGATAGAAATAGTCCCCCAAAACATCTTTCATAAAATATAAATGTGTGTACCTAAAGGTAGATACACAGCAGCTAAGATATTCCATAACCCTGGACATATGTTATCACCTTGCCTTGGTCAACTACTTAAGGTCAAAATGTGCAGACACAAGACCCAAACTAAGACTAATTTCCTATAAACAAAATGTTGGTGTATTATCAAAAAGTTATTACCACCACTAAAACAAACCATTTCCGACCTAAATACAATTAATTATCTTAATTGTACCGTAGTTTCCTTTGGACCTGCTGATTAAAAAGAAATGTCACCATAAATTTTAAGGCGCATTTTTACGGGCTTAAGTAACAATTTGTCTACAGACCGCAGGTTTCTTGCTGGAACATAGTTGATGACTAATAGGGGGTACCTTAGGAACAATTTTAGGTTGCACGGTGAGATTGCTGGTTCACACAGAGCACTTTTGATAGCAGATAACTAAAGGCCGGGTCTCACTGCGCTTGCGACCTTTTTGCAACCTTTTTGCAACCACAAAATCTGGCGGTCGCTTGCGATCACTTTGCAAGCTAATCAAGAAGCTGTGGCCAATTTTGATCGGCAAGCAGTCGCAAACCGGTTGCAACAAGGTTGCAGTATGGTATCTGTAACCTCCTAAAGACCATCTTCAAGTTATAGGTTACCAGGCGCACACTGTCTGCAACCACTTGGTGACCGAAAACCGGTTGCAGGACTGTAGCAATCGCTTGTCAACTGGTAGTAGCAAGGTCGCACAGAATATATATATTTTGCCAACTTGTGACAGTAGCTGCTTTCCCATAAATTCCCCTCTCAAAAGACAAAAATGTTCTAAATGCTCTCAATTCGCATTTTTTAAAATCAAAATACATACTTTAATGCTCGAAAGACAAGTCATTTATTTGATTCATCCTAATCTTTAGCATTTGGTGCATGAAAAGCTTTGTCACACTTTAAAAACACATGGCTCCTTGATACTCTCGAACGGGGCGTCAATTGCAAATACCACGGATACTGGTAGGATGGTGACAACACATGTGAACACATTTGAGAGAGAGAGAGACAGAGAGAGAGAGAGAGAGAGAGAGAGAGAGAGAGATGAAGTGTGGTCAAAGACGTAACAATTTGCACGAATGTTACACAAACACAGCTATAGCTTTACTTGGTGTTTACAGCACTCTTCCGGAATCCAAATCTTATATTTTGATCAACCGATAGATGTTAAGTTCTATACAAGTTGAATTGTTATAAAATAAGAGCATATTATTTGCTGTATTATTTATTTATCTAAAAGAACCGTTTTGCTATAGTCACCGTTTCAAACTTGGCTATAAACAGTAAGGGCGTTTTTAGTAGAAACAGAAAAAGAACCGATAGACATATACCAAGTACTTCTTTATTACGGTGCTTTTATTCAGATAACATCAATTATCAATAAACAATACTATACATATGAGTAATAGTAGTAAAAGCCTCATATGAGTTAAATTAATGGAATTCAGATTTTTAAAAAGTGTCCTATACGTACATGTGCTTGCATATAATGTAATAGTGCTGGTAGTTTGCCATACGTGTATATAATAAAACCTTGAGCCATCAGATTTCTGCATCATCCACATCTATGAGACAAACCAAGGGGAAAACATACAAATTCAACTCCAAAAAAGTCCTTAATCAGAATGATGCAAATTGGTTGCAGTTTTCGACATGGATATATACCTAATTTGTATACATTGAATCAGAACATGGGATTGTTATTTGTGACTAATTACAATCACCTTCGTGTTTCCACGAGATTTTACCTTGCAACACGTTTAACACGTTTACACAGTTTATTGCCAGAATTAACGACCCAACGCAGACCAATTTTCTGACATTAAGTAGAACCCCCCCCCCCCCGCATTACTGCTACATGCTAGAGCGGTTATTTGTTCTTCTTTTTGTCCTTTTGCACAAACATTATACATTTTCAATAATGTTATTTAAGTAAAATTTTCCAATTCCTTTTCCAATCTAGCGTAATCGGCCTCATGTAATCGACCCACGGTTTTCATTGTTTCTGTTTGCTTGACTCCCGTCACCGAGAGGGCCTGACGCTGCTTCGCTCGTTGGTTCATCAGGATGGACAGTAGTGTCAGTTGCCTGAAGGAGAGATCGTATTGTTTGAATCTCTGTCCTACATTGAAACAAAGTAAATATACACATACTTACACACACACACACACACACACACACACACACACACATACCAATACATACCGAGTCGTCAAAATCCTCCACTGGGCCAGGTATAGCTCTTCTTGCTGACCCATCCCCTCTTCTTTCTGTGAGGAGATACATACAAGAGAAAATGAGCGCATGCATTGTTTAAAGATACAAATACGTACTGTCCATAAATGCAGTGATCACCGATTGATGTATTTTTTCTTTGATTAAACAATAATAAATAAATAAAGTTCAATATACATTAATGAAGGTGACAGTTAAATGATGATGAAAAAGAAGCATATCTTTAACCTGTATCCTCAAAGGTTGTTTGCATCTTGCGAATATGCGAGAGGCATGTCTTCGCATCCCACCTCTTATTTGGGTCTCTTTCCAACATGCCTAAAAGTAGTTCTTTTAAACCTGGGCAGTCGAATGAAATCTGCAATGAAAATTTATTTGCCAAAAACTGCATCAGGTGCACTTATGTTAGAGAACAACACAATGAAAAAGCGAAAAAAAACATTGAGATTCTGTTAGAGCCATATACACGGCAATTCAAACGAGGTGTTGCTCCACAGAAAAAATCCGAAAAAATCTAAACTTTCATTAAGCTTGCTAACATTCACGTGCACTTGCATAGTGGGCAATAAAATATAGCAAACTAAGTTTTGGCTTAAAAAGACTCGGTACCAATCTGCTTTATTTAATTGGACTATCAATTTGTCAAGAAAACTATTTTAACATAAAAAAAAAAAGTACAAACAAATCAAATACACAGCAATAAAGTATGCGGCTGACAGTATTAATAAGACAGCTTCCCAGCAGGCATTAGACGGCTCTCCATTGTTTGTCCGCCCCCTTCTATTCACAGGACAGGGATTAAAACATTTCTGACGTTATTAAAACGTCATACAACGGAAACATAATTATTATTACTACTGTAGTTGCGTTGGATCAACGTTGAAAACAGGTTAATACGTTGAATTGCCGTTGATCTACCTAAATTCAATGTAAAATCAACGTTGATCCAGCCACGTCGAAACACCGTCATAATGTGACGTTGACTCAACGTTGTATTTTGGTCAATGACACAACCTTGCAGTTATGGATTATAATTTAAAATATTAATTATTGAAAAGGTGATACTTTGTTTATCAATACTGTAACTAAATTTATCAAAATAATAACAAAAGGGTTTTTAAGTAAAAGTGACAGTTGTTACGTGTCTTTAGTTAACTAGTGAATTTTCTTAACTTGTTATTCAGAAATACATTCCAATAAACTGAATTCCTTGCAAGGTCAGCTAACACTAGGATGAATAAGTTGCTGTAAATGTTATGGAGTTAACAGTTCTTGGTAACCTGTTATACGGGTAGATAGACAGGTTGAGGTGACTGTGACTTTGTTATATATATATAGAAAAGAACTTTGTATATTAATCTAAACCTTGGAAATTTTAACTTAAAGGCCATACATTTATACCCTATATATATATTTAGCCATCAAACAGGTCCTACTGCTAAACACATCCAGGCTAATTTCCCGCTGGGTGGGGTTGATATAATATTGTTTTCTGACATTGATGCAACGTTGTTATTTGAGGTTGAAACTTTCAAATCCAACGTTTATCCAATGTCTTCTCGACGTTATGGTTCAACGTTGTTTCAACGTTAAAACAACATAATTTGCCCGCTGGGTTTACATTCCCAGTAAAATAATTACTGACGAATTAACAATAACTTACGGCTGAAGTTTAAATATGACAAAGCAAAGCAGATTTTACACACTGGAAAAGCTTTATAACTTTAAGTAATGCAAACAAAAATTGAAGAAAAAGGAAAGTAGCACAAAATTCCCCTCACCCCGTCGAGGTAATGATGGACTTCTCGCCAACTTTCCCAGGGATCTTTATGTAGTTTCAGAAACAGAGCGCAGCATCCTAGAGACCAAATGTCCATCTTGGGGGTGCATCGGTGGGGAGGCCCAAAAACCTCTGGAGCAGCGTAACGCCTGGGTATTTCTATCAACAAAAAACATATACGTCCAAGAAAGCTATCCAAATTACCAGATGAGATTGTTAGATGAAGAAATGGTGAATCACTATTATACTGTTCACACTAACATGGTATAGTGAATAACTGTCGCATACAGGTGTCCAAGAGGCACCGCCTGCACTCCAGTCTTCTAACACACGGTTATTTCTGAAATTTACTTACAGACTGGCTCTCAGGTCAATATAATACCCAATCACAATATTTAAATCATTCAAACGGAATGGGTCAGACGGAATGAGTTAAAAAGGAAACGCTGGTGTGAAAATCATTCGTATCACGACCAACATCATTTGTGAAAATGTGTAGCGACCAACTACTTGTTAGTATACTTAACACACGAAACAGACACAAGATGCATACAGGCAATCAAAGATTCCAAGGAGTCGTTTGGTCGACGACGAACTTTAGACACAAAATTAAAGGTAAGCGGCTTTGTTGAGCCAACACCAGGTCTAGGAGCATCCCTTGTGTCCTCTTCTGTTTAAAAGAATGAAATGATGTTCAAAACATGGGTACTTGAACAAAATTCTATGCACTTTTTGATATTCAACCAAATAAAAATAGACATTCTTTTTCTAGTTTGCAGTAATTATAAATGATATTAGATCACACTCTAAGCACGTTACAATATTTTCTTTATTGTTAGTTGTTTGTTTTATACAAAAGGACTTTTAACAACAACATGATTGGATAACTGTGCCAGTAAAGGTCATTTAACTGGGCGCATACGTGATATTTATACCTGTATATTGGAGCCACAAGGAGGGTACAGATAGGTCTTTGATTAGCGGAGAGTCAACGTGATAACAGCACTATTCTAAACAACTTATGTAAATCCATTAGAATAATTGTTCATAATACCACTCTATGTATCGTTGCATGCAACTGGGCTTAACTAGCTACTCTTACAGCTACATGTACCAAAGGGACAAAGAAAGTGTCAGCGCCATAAGAGCCAGACAGACAAACTTAAATTATACTGTAAATAAACCTATTCGTTATTTTTAACATTTTGGAGAAATAGCTAAAATGTACAACACTCCAAAACATTGGGAACTCAAGGAATACAAATGACCTCATATTTAAAAAGGTTTACTGGGCAATTATGATTTCTTATAGGCATTACTTTACCTTCAAAATCCTGTGTATCAGCCGGGGTTATAACAGAACCTAGGTCCAAAATGACAACGCGACCGTCCGCCATCATGCCAATATTGTCAGCTAAGAATAAAAGACAGAACAGAAAGTGAAACTTAAAGAGCTGATTTATTCAAAGCACAGAATGATGCAAAAAAGCAAAGATACAACCAATTGTTATGTAAGGAACCTTTAAATAATACCTAAATCATTTTGCTCGCGAGTTCCCCATAAATGTAGGGTATGAGAAGGAAAAAGCAGATTTCCCTCGACAGACATACGTAAATATTCACTCCAATCCGTAAACTCACGTTTTAAATCCCTGTGAATAAATGAACATCTATGCAGTTGCTCAAGCCCTGTCAAAGCTCCCATCAGACACTGCAACGTCTTCTGTTCCTGAACAGGTCCGCTGTTAATCATCTCAAGCCAAGTGCCGTCTAAAACAAATGCCTTGTTTTATTCACATATAATATAATATAATATAATATAATATAATATAATATAATATAATATAATATAATATCGTCTATTCAAGTTTTGGTCATGCTCTTCCCATTGTTAGGAGCTGATTATTAAGGCAAGAAAACTTATCTTTCTAAGAATTTTTGAACGATAGAGGTGCAATGTATTAGAATTGAATTCAATTATGTGAGAAATGTTTAGAGAAAGCCTCAGACTGAGGTTATGTAGTGGAATAGGCCACTGCCTTGAGTAAGGAATCCATGCCCTATGTAAGAATGTTGAGCTGCAGGACTAACATGACAGCAGGCTGTATTTGGTTTAGTACTGTCATATTTTAAAATTCATCTTTCAACTAAAATGAAATTAAATGGCAACAGCCCTTATTTTTCACTATTTCTTAGGCTTACTTGTGGCTTTCTCCATAATAATTTCAATACAGTTTCCTCGACGAATCAGACCATACAACTTTATGATGTTTGGGTGGTTGAAGATGCTTAGAATACGTGGTTCTCTTCGATTAAATTTCCTGATAGGTATCTGTAATTATATGCAAATGAATAAGCTCGCTGATATTGCCCCCAGCAGCAAAGTAATAGAACATCACATGCAATATAATTTGAAATAAAAACCATGCCTTTTACGGAATAACGCGTCAATCTATATCATTCACAGCATTGTAGTTCTCAGAAAAAGGTATTTTTTCAACCAACAGCTTAATATTGAAATACTTTGTCTTCAATATTTCAATGTCTAACGGAGCACCTTCACCAGGGGATTGCAGTTCTCAGAAATTAAAAAAGAAGCATAATCTCGGGATTCATAAAATTAAAGTGATTACCCTTTTCACAGCAAACGACATCCTACTTTGAATATCAACACCAAATGATACTTCTCCATAAGATCCGCGATGTGGCTGCCCTTCCTTAACAAAATCCTTGTTTTCATCATATCTTCCATTATTGAGGTGAAGACCCTAATTGAAAAGAGAAACTTGCAAGAGATACTGGCGATTTAAATGTGTTTCCAGAAAGAGAATGCTGGAGTATACTTTTATTGTTAAAACAAGATATGTGTAAAACAATATACAACTTAAGTGATTGGAGAAGGAAGATACCTGCCAATAATTAAGAATTTATATATTAATTATAATGAAGCGATCTTTGCTATGCCTTGGATTGAACGCCTCTGATAATGTAAAAACACTTCTATTATCATGTCAGTAAAATTATGAAACGTGATAACCTCATCCAAAACCAATCCCTCAGCTTCACCACAGTTCTGGTTTCCATAAAAACTCTCTTGATCCAAAAAGTCATGTAAATCACTATTAACTCCGTATGTTATCTTTCTGTGATGCCCAAATCCCGTTGAAACTGGCAGATCACTCCCTCCCTCGGCGCCCCTTCCCAAATTAAAGTCACTCAATAGTGAGGAGTTGCTTTCTCTTCCTGTTGTTACAGCCGATGCCTCGCCTGAACTGAAGTCACTGTCAACACACTGTTCAGCCTCGGGCAGATCCTCTACCTGTGTTGGCGATTGTTCATGTAGCACAACCTGCAAGGACAGATGGTAATGCCCCCTTTACACTGGACGGCGTCCTTTCTGCGACCATGAAATTTGGCATCGCTGTGGTCTTAATAAGGAGGCACGAGCATTAATTTTGTATCAGAATGAATGCTCAATGATCGGCCAGTTGTCGGCACGTAAAGCATTATAATTTTTTAACTCTCAAATGGGGCCGTACTGCTGGACGCAGAAAGGACGCCGTCCAGTGTAAAGGGGGCTTAATGTTATACGCCTATATTTCACTTTAATCTTACTTATTTTTATTTTGGCAAAAACGTGAGGGCACATTGAGATACAAATTCCTTACTTCCTGTCCAAAGTACTGTCCAGTTGTCTGAGTTTCCGTGGATGAACAGAAAGGCACAGCACAACATATAACCAACGTCCTCACAAAGGCAAGACCACATAGCCATTGTGCACACTTTTCAAACAATGTGGCTAGGTATTGAGGTCTGGCATCTGAAAGAAGAATAGTGATACTTTCAGTATGTAATACTGTCGATGAAAAACTTGATGGATTTAACTTTATCCAAATTGCATCCTATATGCAATGACTAGCCTTTGTACTTACTGGGTATATGTATATCCTGTTTATCTTTCGCCTTCCTCCTTTTATTCTTTTTGAACGGCCGTATGGTTTTAGTTTTGGTTGCTGGTGGGTAGCTAGTTTCCGCATTAAAATTACTCAGACACCAGTCCCAAAACAGTATGTTTTGCTTAGTTTCGACGACAGTTATGGAAGCAATGACATCCATTGATATGGCATCTCCTCGGTAGAGTGTGTAGCGGACTGTGTACTTTCCAAGCAAGCTGTGGCAAGGGTAACGTTTCAATACCTGATTACTGGATTCGAAACAAGCCTTGATGACTTCAGCATCGAGGATATTTTTGAAGTTAACTTTCTCGACTGAGGCGTAGGTGACCATAGAAAAATCGATGCCAAGATACGGAACCAAGTCAATCTCAAACTCTTTTAAATTATTTAGGGTCTCAGTGACCCGCAAGACAGAGGAAATGGAGCTGACGGTCTGACTTATTATACGAATCAAGTCGGTGTCGATGTTGGAGGTAGTACGGTAGATAGTGGAAATGGTCTCGTCGTTTGCCAGTAAAGCGCAACTGGAGCGTTTAATCTTGGTGGGGGTGGGGAACAGAGAGTAACAGTTGGAGTCAACGAGAGCACTTGCAGGTATCTGAGGAGCAATGGGGAAAACCGGTTGTTTCTTAGGCTTATGGTCGAGGTCAGCACTGAGACAGTTTATTTTCTTGTCGGCACGAGCGTATTTTCCCCCTTCCACTCCTGCATGTTCGAAGATTGCCCTTTCGTCAGAAGTGACATCCACTGTCAACCGCCTTTGTTCCGACAAGTTGATGATTTTTTCTGGTGTGTTAATGCCTTCGTGTACGTTTTGCCACACATCACCTTTGTTTGACAAAGGGTTTGCAATAAGTTCCTCGTCCGAATTTCCGGATACCACGAGTTTACTTGGACATTTACCCACCGTCGCTATATTTTCCTGCACTGGGTTCTGATATGAAGCTTCCGGTAAATCAACAGTGTTATCTGACTGCTCACATCCTTGTGCGTTCTGTTGACCATCCACAGAACATATGTCCGTTTTATTAGTGCAAGAGGAATAGTCTTCTTGTTTGAAGGTTGTTTCTTGGAATGGGTTAGAGTTTGCTGATTCGGCAGGCTGCACTTCATTCCGCAATTTGCTCTCTAAAAAATCATGACATCTTGAAACGCCCAGTTGTGTCGATAGTTCAGGTTTGCTTTCTGAAAGTGAGTTATCTTCTGACCATATTTTATCATTGGGGATACATGTGTCTCTTGGATAATTTTTTTCCTTTGATCCCTCGAAACGAAGTGAACTGTTGTTTCTCATGCATTCCATTTCTGATGAAGACTTCTCTGAAAGAAAACAAATGTGAATGCGGTGCACTGGAGTTAGATTTTGGCATATACGAATTTGATATGTATCCTAATTTAACTCTATTCATACTGGCTGGGGTCGTTTACAATCCCAGGCCAATGACCCTGGTAAAAACCAAGAGCAACTAAATGGTGAAATCGAACAGTTTGGAGTAAGGTCCACCTATCACATGGAAAAAACCAACAAAATGTCTCTGAATCAGACTACCTACGCCAACAGCTACGCGACATCAAAGAGTGACAACTTCATCAGATTCTGCCAGAATATGATGTCATCTTTGTAAATGTCTATTAGTCAGAGAGCAAAACTATCCCCCTAATATAAGTGGCTACTCTATAGTATATAAAGACCGGCTGAGAGACGACATTAATTCCATACAAAAATCTCACAAATTTCTGGTCACAAGAGGAAGGTGCACAGAATTCGCCCGAGGCATATCTCTAAAAATTAAGTAAAAATAAAAAAGCAACTTGTAACCCTTACAGAGGGTATCCCCTGGCAAGTAACCAGTTTGTCCAGTTCACATTGAACACTAGTTTGAACATGATTGCAATATCTGAATCATCAAATCTCACATCAGTAACAACTTGGCCAAAGACCAACTTTATTTAAAATATGCAACCGTCATAAAAAATTAATTTAAAAGGTATACATAACATGCCCTTCATCAAGATAGTTTATGTTGTACAATATCTTGGTCAGTATTGAATAGTATTGTAGCTCTCTTTTTCTATATATTGATACACCAATGAGCTTACGTGGTGCATTACCAAAATATTACCGGTATTTCATAAATAATGTTAGGGGTCGTAAACGGCACCAGTCAGTAGGAATATGTAACAATACGTGAGAATAAGTCGTCATGATGATGCATCTACTGGTATGAAGAACTACTAAAAAGATGTAATATCCTGTCCAAGATCTAAACAGTGATTTGATGAGTTTTCAAAATATGAGAATGACATTCATAAAACCTGTTATGACACTTTTCTTTATTTTTAACATAATCAGTTGCAACATTTGATTAGTTCAGGGGGCTTCTCTTCTTGTCACAAAATTGAAGACTCTCACTTATTTCAGAGCACTAGATCTTTGTCATAGAAGTGTACCTGTAGTCAAAGCTCTTTACCATTCAGATAAGATCAATGACCCAAGTCACCCCCTTCTCTCTATTTTTCCAAATTCTTTTCATTGCACACTTTGTCTTAGAGTTCAGTTCCAGTGGTCGTTAATAAAAAAACACTATTTTGAATAAAAAAAGAGACAAGAATGTTTGGGGCCAAATGCTGCTGTTGCAGTAGTTTTTACCATTTTGAAAACTTATTTGGTGGGATCTGGATTAAGTGTAAATATTTTCCTTCCTCACAGTCCATCGAAAGCTTCTTGCTTTCCCTTCAGTCGTCATTTAAATGAGTACCACAGATGGTAGACCTGGGATATTATTCCTTCCTATTTAATAAAGCGCGGATAAATCAGCAGAAGAACTAATTTAAAAACAAAAGGAATCTGAGGGATTTGCTTTAAAGGCTTTTCAAATGAAAAGAAATTTACCCTCGATATTGTCACAATGTTGGCATTTTCCCTGTGGTAACGCGACTTCTCTCTGAAGACTAATTGCTTTGGTATGTTTATGGGAAGAGAAGCTTAATTGACTGATGCGCTTCTTGAAATGCAGTGGTGTTAGTTTTGTCACATCGTTATGTGATCTACGAGGCGTCTGCATAAGCAGCATTCTCTTGAATGTTCTATAACAAATAGAGTAGTCTGCTGTTGTACAGCCAGCAAATCGTGTGTAGCTTGACGTATTATATAGTTAGGGACATACATGTAGGATTATATTGTTAGGGTGAAGCAAAAGTCAATGTTTTTGAACTTTGTGGAAAAACTACCATTATAATTCAATGTGAAACCCAAATAAAAAAATCCGTTAACTGGTTTTGGCCTTTACAAGACAACACTTCGTTATATCGCCCCTTTTTCTAAATATCAATACTTTCTTACTTTTACAGTCAAAGACCATTTATCAGTATTTATTGATGAAGTATTTTACGTTTTTGTGAACTTTCTGTACAGTCAGAAAATAAAGACATGTCGTCCACGTACCTGAGTAACAAATACCTGCTATACTGTACAACCAACTAATTGCATTCGGTTCTTTTTTTTTTTTTTTTTCTAATTCAGTTTTGCAGCCATTAACATACAGATAATAAAGAACAAGAGACAAAAGCTCTGAACAGAGATCCCTCTTTTATTTTCAAAGATTTTTTTTAGATTTTCCCATTTAACAAAGTACCAGTTTTCACATAATCATGTATAAGGGCTTTATAGCATTGTTTTACCTCCGATGTCCAACTTCAATAATTTGTCATAATTTAGCTACATTTATGGTATCAAAACATTGCATACAATAAAGCATGAAAGTTTCTTTTAGAAAGATATGTTCTATCCGCTTGCCTTATAACATGCCCCGTTTCCTATCCAATCTCATGACCCAATTACAATATTTATACAAGTGCGTGTAAACTAAGTTTGAGGTAAATATTTCCCTGGCAGTATTAATCAATGGTGCCTCATGAATGCATAGTATGTTTGAATGGTCTGGGTCGTTGTGGGCACTGGATATAGGTCAAGGTTTCAAATCATAACAAGGTACACGTGTTAGTTTTAACTACAGGGGGTACCTGTCATTTAATATGACTCCCTTCTTTGGGGTGGTTCGTGTTAATCAGACCAAAACCGCACGTCTTTTCTTAATTTAAAATATAACTTAAATATACTTTTTGATCAAATAAATCCTTTATTTAAGACAGTATTCAGGTCAGGAATACCTAAATTGTAGTAATGCACTTAGAGGATACCATCTAAACGTTCATGAATTTTGAAGCAGGTTTTTAGTTTCGTTTTTCTCTTAAACCAGTACATTGTTCATACCACTTGAATGTGGATGTATTTGCCTGTTCTATAACTTGGCTGTCATCACTGCAAATTCTTTCAAAATTACATTACTCTGTGTGTTTATCTATTTAATCTGTAACTTAGAAACAGAAACTATTTTCAAACACATTTTAATGTTTTCTATTATTTTATTAAATTTATTTATTACTTTTAATGATTTAAAAATCCACCCCGAGAACTGACTATAAAACTGGCAAACTAGACACCATGAGTCAATTGCAAAAAGCCTCTAACCAAAGCTTTCTTCTGACATGAGTGCAGTATGCATATGAAACTTAAGTTATGACAGCCAATTTGAACACCAGTCACGGCCATATCGATTATCGATAAATACTGGAACTCCTATCAGTGGGGCCAGTGCTGCGAAATGATAAAGGGAGTGTTTTATGGATAAACGGATATACACGAACATAAACGGAAAGAGACAAACACACTACACTAACACAGTCACAATCGCACACATAAGTATACTGTATGTTACAATGACATTTTCTTTTAAGATTCCCTTGCATGGTTGTCAGGATGTAAACGTATACGTACTTTGAAATTAAAATGCAAGTTCAGGGCCACAGAGGGATGGGGGTGACAGGAGTGCAGGTGACTCCCCTGAGATTTTAAAAAAGAATTTTAAGGGATCTTTATTAAACAGCCCTTTCCTTCCTTTCAATGAATTAGAATGCCTAAACGTCAGTCGCCATCTGGATAAATGAAATACTTTGTTTTTATTGCGAAAGAAAAAATACAGAAGATGAGCTTCACTTCCTTATAATATGTCCTTTTTATTCAGATTCATGACAAGAACTTTTAGATAAATGTCACTATTTTAATCCATGTTTTAGCAATTATAGTGATGTAGAAAAAATTGTTTTTATTATGAATTGTGAATACCAATTTTTATTAGCTAAGACAGTTTTTAAAATGTTTAAAAGACGGAAATCTTTTAAATATGTCTCATAAGCTAAATATGGCTGGATATTCTTTTTAACTAGTAGTTTACTTTATGCTGGTTTGCATGTATTTTATGTTTTAAGAATATGCGACACTTTAAATAAATAAATCTATAAATAAATAGATAAATACCACAGGGGTAGTCAAAAATGCATTTATGCCTTCCAACCACCGTAGATATTGGCTTTGTGGATGGTGTATCTAGTGGCAATAAAATAACTTCTTTAAGCAACATGTATTCCATTCCCATCAAAACAGATCCAATTTACTACACAGACTCATGTCTCATATAAAATCGAAGGTAAACATTCCATTTATATCAATAAAATAGGTTGAATACACACTGGGGTTATCATGTTGCAGAGTCTGGGTCTTTGAGGGCACGCGGGATATATAGATCTATGTCACAATTCACAACCAGGTACATGTGTTGGCCTTTAGAAACTGTCATTTAAATTGGCTTCTTTCTTTGGGGTGGTGTGTCTTGGACTCAAGAATGCATATGTCTTTTTTATTTAAAATGTAACTTAAATATACATTTTGATATAATAAAACCTTTATTAAAGAGAGTATTTAGGCCAGGGATACTTAAATTGAAGTAATGCAATTAAAGAACACTATCTAAACGTGCACGGATTTTGATGCAGGTTTTTAGTTTCATTTTTTTTTAAACACGTATCTTGTTCATGTCATTCATATGTGGATCTATTAACTTGTTCCCCAAATAACTTGTCTTTTATCACTATAAATTCATTCAAAATTCCATTGATCTGTGGGTTTATCATTTTATTCTTTAACATACATGTAGTGACAAAAACATTTTCTCAAAAACATTGAATCCAACCTGGCAACTGCCTATAAAATTGACAAACTAGACACCCTGAGTTAACTGCAAGAAGTCTCTACCCAAAGCTTTCTTTGGACATGAGTGCAAGATGCATATAAATCCATATTTATACAAGTGCGTGTGACCTAATGTTAAGGTATATATTTCCATAGCAAATTTAGTCAATACTACTACGTAAATGTGTTGAGGGCACGGGAGATAGATCTACAGGGTTACCACTTAATATGGAATATTATTTTTTGGCGAGTAAATTTTCTACAAAATATTCAATTTCTCTCTAACTACTTTAAATCCAAAGTTGAGGTGTCACTCCATGTGTAGGTTAAAATTCACAACCAGGTACACGTGTTAGCCTTAAGCAACTGTCATTTAATATGGCTTTCCTCTTCATGGGGAGTGGGGTGAGACTCACAACCACGAACATTTCTTAAATTGAAGATGCAATCCTTTATGAAATCAAGTCTTCAAGTCAAGAATGCATGTACCTGAATTGTGATTATCCTCTTAGAGTTTCAACGTGTACCGTTTTTGGTGTACAGGTAGATTTATAGTTTCATTTTTCTTTTATATCAGTAGCTTATTCATACCCTTTGTATGTGGATCTATTGGGTTTTTTACAATACTGTTTATAGAATGGGCAAACGAGCTACCATGAGTCAATTGCAACAAGCCTCTAACCAAATCTTTCTTATCATTTTTGGTCAGAAAATAATCATATGGATCTGAATACATATAAAACCAAAATCATGAAAGCCTCTTTAAAATACCATTTACAGTCAAAGGGAATGTTTATTTTGATTACTGGAACTCCTTCCATTGAGACCACAATGTCCTATTCCCACAGGGTCCTATACCAATAGGCAGGGCCGTAGCCTCCGGGGGAGGGGGGGGGGGCAGGGGGGCAGCTGGGATTTAGAATTTTCCACACTGGTAGAGGCTCATCCCCTCCCCCCTCGGGGGCTTCGCCCCCTCCCGTCCGCTCACTGCCCCCCTGGCATTTTGCTCAGGCTACGGCCCTAATAGGTATCAAAATCATCGTGGGATCTTTATAGTGTTAGCATTTTCCTTTCTCTCAGTCTATCAGATATCTCTTAGGCTTAGCTAGTCTTTCTTTCGGCCAGCGTCTTGATAAGTACCACAGGAGGTTAACTAACAAAATATTTCCTGTATTGTGGGCCTAAACGTAGCCCTCTACATCTGCCTCCCCACCCTTTTCCCCAGGGGTGTACATATCTCAGCATATGGCTGAGGCTGGTGTATCTAGCAGAGGCAGAACATCTCACCTTCTTTTAGCAACTTATATATTCCATCCACTTTATCACAGTCCCTGCTTACTTTCCAAGCTCATAACCTACATGTACATACAATATAGACCGACTATACCGGACATGGGAGATTGCTTGTATCAACGCATTCCAACATATTTTTTGTTGTGAAGCGCAATCTTATTCATACCATGAGTTCATGGATGTATTGATCTCAAATGTGAATTTGTGAAAAATAACTTCAATAGAGTTTTGGCAAATGAATCATATGTTTCTACTTACTTTTTAACTAACTGCGCAGTTGTGTCGAAGCTACATAGGCGCTCGGCTGTCACCTTGATTGGATAGTAAACGATTGTCGTAAAGTCGCTAAATGATTTTAAAACCTGGTGCATAAATTTTAAAACCACCTAGAACAATCTTAGACTGCCACATGAACATAATACAATGCAAAAAACTATCAAAAGTGGTTAAAGCCTTCAAACCGAATGTCGTAAAGTCCCCATTTACCCCCATAGAGACAATAAAATAGAGTAAGCTCACGCTCGGCTGTCACAGAGAGTCTCTAGAGGTCGCATTACACCGGGCTTACGGAGAAGAAGCCTTGTCATTGGCCAGGCTTTTTTTTTTTTTTTTTTTTGATTGACGCTGAGGTCAATATTTATAAATGACGAAATTCCACGTGGTGTTTACATCTCAGCGTGGCTGGGCACTGGGGCTAACGATGTTAACGCAGGAGGAAGCGCTTGAGGTACCAGTGCTTGGACACAATATTCTGTTATGTAGACAAGCTGGTACAGGAAAGAATACAACTCAAGAATAGTGAATGAATTAAAGAAGAAATACAAAAAGGTAAGGAATATGAGTATATACATGTACACGTAGCACACAAGAAGTTTTTTTTTGTGTGTTCTTTCATTCACTATTTTTTTCGCCCATTGTGTAGGCGTACAATTTAAGTACTATAAATAACAAATGGCTCTTGATCACTTAATAAGAAAACAAACATGGTGTGTGTACGAGTGTAAAATGCTTTCAACGCATGTAAATTTGATTCATATTCAGGTATGTTGTTTTTGCTGTTTTATATGTATTCTTTAAAATAAAACACACTTAAATGTTCATTCTATACACATGGGTGAAAGTTTCAGGATTATGCCTGATTTCAGGATTTGGTCTTCATTTTGATTTTTTTTTCTTAATGGTCTAAATGAGATGAGAAATTGCAAGCTATGTTTTCAGGATTTTCAGTTTTAACAACTTTCACCTATGCATACAAATTATTTGCAATGCCCCAGATGTTTTATCCTAAATTCTAGACAGTGTGTGTGTCTGCTTTGTATTAACACATTTAACTTTAATCCCTCACTAGTGTCACAGAGGACAGAACAATTTTAATGCAATAATTTTGGATGATTGGACTATCATAACCGAAAGGCATTCTGTGTGTCCAAATTTAGATTGTAAATGAGTGTTTATTGGAGAATAAACAGGTTCAGCTTAGGGACTTTTAAGTGCCCAAATTAAATTGAGAAAAACACGTGTTTATAAGACGGTACTGGAAAATAAACAAGCTAAGCTTATGAATGTCTACCTGTCTAGATTAAAAATGAGCATTTCAATAGAGAGGTATTTGACAATGCACAGATTGATCTTTTAAGTATCCATCATACAATGATTGAAACTTCTGATACTTGAACATTGACCCCCACTTGAATATTGACTGCCCAGTAAGCTGATTTAAGGTGCCTGGAAAGAGGGCTAGTGCTGATGTGCACGGAACACCTTATTAGTACATTAACTGGTAACTTGCTGAAATCAGAACTGTAAGCTGTTGATGAAATTTCCAGACTGTGTTCTTGTGACTTTTATTAAAGTAGCCAAGCAATGAAATACATATACCGGGCTTATTAAAATCCATGAAGCCTTTTAGGACAATGGTACACTACCCCAATTTAAGTTCAATGAATCAAGCATTAAAACAGAAAATAAGAATGAATGGCAGTCATTCAGTTTACCAGAAAAATCCAGAAATTAATTTGTGTCGATTTTTTAGCCTTTAATTTTTACATTTTTGCTATTTAACTGGAAATTTAAGATGTCATGTTCATGAATTATCTCTCTGTCTTTGTCACAACAACAGGGATATCTGCCCTCCTTTTAAAAAAGATCGGTGCCCGCAGAGTGCATTCAACTTTTGGTTTGGATGATGGAAGACACAACAAAGAACACTTGGCCACCCGTATTTTGAGGGACCCCCAATACAAAGGCAGATATAATGGAATCACAAATATGGACTGTCTTATTTAGGATGAGGTGTCCATGTTTTCTGAGGTTGTTTGAGCAATTCGAGTACGAGCTGTCAGAGGATCTTAAATATTGATGGGGGGGGGGTGCAAGTCATTTTCAGTGGTGATTTTTAGCAACTGCCACCTGTCCCAAATCATGATTATGTGGATTATGTGCATTTTGCTTTCCAGTCGGATATCTTTAGCCAAGTCTTCCCACATTACATATTGTTGACAGATGTCAAACGCCAGTAGGATCCTTCATTTATTGCTGCTATTCAGGAGTCAGCAAGAAGTTTTCTCGCTAAAATATCTGATGACTATCTTTTGGGACACTCTCGTACCCTATCAGATAAATCTACAAACCCAACGTTTCTGTTTGCAACCAAATTCGAGGTGGAGTACCACAATGCCAGAGCCCTATAAAGACTACCAGGAGATCCAACAATTATAACATCTCAAGATGAGGGTGACGTGTGTATTCAGACAAGGCTCATGAGTAGTTGGTGATAGATGTTATTACTTAGGCCATAATTTTTTTTTTATTTTTATGGATGACATCCTCTGGAGACCCCGAAATCGGCGCGAGCGGGCGAAAAAAAAAACAGTCCAAAAAAACAACAAAATTCTACTTAAGTAAAGGAATGCTGTCAGTACACAGCTATAAACACATTTACCACCGAAATACGTATCAAACCAACACTATGTCTTTATCCATGCCCTCAAAATATTAAAGCATTGTCAATATTACGTAGAAAGGTAAAAAAAGGTTATGAATAGATATGCTGCATATTACCAAATCTATATTAAGGTTATTTTATGCAATTTGCTGGTATAACAATCAATAAAACAGATAATAAACAAACAGTGTGTCTTTATTTGTGCTCTCAGAATATTAAAGCATTATGAACACTTAACAGAAATGTTAAAAAAGCATTCAAAGATATGCTTTACACTACCAAACCTATTAAAGGTCATTTCGGTCAATGCCGTTTTGTCTACTTTGACTCGCACGAGGCAGCCAATCTGTCGGGTGGCCTGTCCGACCTTCAGCCCACCTAATACCTCGACGACCTTGTCGACCCTGTTTTCGCTACAAAAAACATGTGCTGCCTTGGACAGAATGCCGCTGAAATTTTGCGGGCGATAATCACTGGCCGCTGCCAGCCTTTCATATAGAGGTAAATGTGCAGGGTCTAGCAGACGATACACTATCCGCCATATGAAATGTGTCAAATGAGAAAAGTGTGTCCGCACTTGTAAATTTTATAAACAGTGCTATGAGAAAACGGAAGCTATCCAAAATGAGATGACACCTGGTATTATACTTTAACTTTATTATTACTATGTACACGTATTTAAACTTATGTATATTATAATTAGTAGTGTAGAGAGCCCATAAATGTACACTCATTTCATGTGCTCAAAAAATTATTATTATTAAATTATTATTATATAATTATAGTGATATCTCCATGCCCACTATCAATGGCATACCAATCCAAAACGACGGCCTCCGTCCTCTTTGTGACTTTAATTGTGGTGTAACTTGACTGTAATCCTATAGAGATGAATTTGACGTTTGCGACAACCGACTTGGTTGGGGGGGTGAGTTTTTTTTCCGGAGAACGGACGAAAATCGGTGCGCGCGCATGATGTCATCCATATAAATAAAAAAAGTGTGGCCTTACTATGAAAACTAAAGGACCCCAGAACAAATACTGTTTGATCATGTGCGTTCTTTAATAAAAAAAAATCACTTACACATTTTATAGTTTTACAAGAAACGTTTAAATGTAAACTTTGTCAACTTTTCCCTTCATTGTAGGCACTCTGTGATAAGAGAGGATTAATTGCAGATAATAAATACTAAATAATTTATTCCATTCATTCATATAAAAGAAAACTATTAGCTTGATAAGAAAGTTGAAAGGTATAATGAAATTTAATCAGACAAGATTTGTTGATATTTTATACATACATGTATTTTAGTGAGATATAATAATTTGATGAACAATGATATATATATATATATATATATATATATATATATATATATATATATATATATATATATATAAATCATATTTGTGGTTAATCTAATATTACACATGGTGAGAAGATGTAAAAAAACATTTTGAAAATTAATAGAAATTTTACGAAAACTTCATTGAAAGGTGAAAAAATTCACATACATATAGCCCATATAACTTTTCTCAATACCCCCTTATGTCATTTTCAAATTTCAAAACCTAATTTTTAGCTTAAATTTTCTCCTCCAACCATTCCCCTCCCTCCCAACTTAAATAATGACCAGCCCCTTGGATACCATTTTTATACACATTCTTATATATGAAAGAAAATGATATAATCTTTAGGAATAGCTGCAAAATCCAACTATAGTTGATTATCATTTGTAAGACAAAAACAAAAAACCATATTGATGTCATTTTCAATCTTTGCAGTTATTGCGACTTAAACCAGATGTTCCAGTAATGTTAATAACCTTTCAAAAGACCAGGTAAATGGCATGCAAGGGAAGGTTGTTGCAATAGATGAAGACAAGCCAGAGTTTAAAGTACATTTTCCAGACAACGAGAGGACCATAGCATTGTCGCCTTATACATTTACAAGGTATGGGCAAATGCATATGTTACTGTAAAATAACATGCCTTTTTGCATTTCGTTATATGTGCTATGTGCTCTTTACATAGATATAGCTTTTGAAAATCACACCGTCATACAAAAAAAGGCAGTCAGAAATGTTAAAGGGATAGTAACTCTTCGTATGAGATTTATATTTCACAATAAAAACATTGTGAATAACTTACAGTAATATAATATATTCTGTTTTACCACAAAAACGGCAGTTATAGCTATTATTCTGATATCTGAGCTGGTCTTCAGACCACGTGACCTCCATTGACGGCTATACTCTGTTATAATCTCTTAAGAGATTTTAACAAAAAACCAAATTTTTAGAAAAAAAAAACAGGGACTAACTTTGAATGTAAAAATGGATTCATTAACCATTGGTAAGTATGGGAAAATTGTTGTTTACTCCAGGAAAATTCATTTT